CTCTAAAATGTTTTTTAGAGATTTATTTTTATTATTTTTAATTCTGTATGTGTATGTCTGTCTATGTATGGGTATATGTATGTGAGTACAGGTGCCCACAGAGGCCAGAGGTGTCAGATTCCCTGGAGCTGGAATTATAGGCAGCTGCGAGCCACCTGAAATGGGTGCTAAGAATCAAACTTGAGTCCTCCGCAGAGCAGTACATGTTCTTAACTACTAAGCCATCTCTCCATCCCCCACGAACATCTTTTAAAGACAAACATAAGGGCTGGGGATATAATTTTGTTGGTAGAGTGCTTGTCTAGCATGCAAAAAGTCTTAAGTTTGAATCCCAGCACTACATAAGCCAGTCATGATGGCACAAACTTGTAATCCCAGCACTTGGAAAGTAGAAGCCAGAGAATCAGAAGTTCAAAGCTGTTTTTAGCTATGTAGTAAGTTTGACACCAGTCTGAGCTACATGAGACCTTGTCTCAAAACAAACAAACAAAAAAAAAAAAAGTCCAATGTGGTAGCACATGCCTTTAATCCCAGCACCAGGGAGGCAGAGGCAGGTGGATCTCTGTGAGTTCAAGGCTAGCCTGGTCTACATAATGAGTTCCAGGCCTGCTGGGGCTACTGGGAGACTGTCTCAAAAAAAAGCGGGGGGGCAAATATAACAATTTTCAAGATTTCTTAAAGCTCCATTACAGGAACTATCACCTGAAGCTGTTTTAGAGCTAGCCAAATCTGCACATCTCATCTAAGTCAGACATGATATCAATGACAAGGCACTTGGCTTCCTTGCCCCCAAAGATCAGATGATTTTAACAGATGCTAATATCCTGCACATTCATCTAGCCAGATGAGGCTTTCCATACTGAAATTCTATTTTCCTCATCTTGGAAGTGAGGAGAAGTATAATTTATTGTCCTCTGAGTAGGAAACTGAGGTGGTTTGAATGCTTTACATAGTTCCTTATCTGGAAGAGTAATTCATTAAAAATGAAATAGAGAAATCAATGGAAATGGACAGTGATAGTTACAAGGGCAGCATCACATTCACTCTCCTAGACTGGTTAATGATAACCAGACCGGTTATTTATCAGCAAAGAATATCTATATGGTGACTTTCAGTTCTCCAAATGAAGTCCTGTAATTTAAAACAGCATGGGTTTAGATACTTTCATTAATTTCTTAGCACACAAAATCTGAGGACAATTCCTATGCATCTACTAAGAGTTGTAGAGAAGTTGTTACAGAATTTATTATTTGTGAGATGTGATTTATGGAGTTTATAGACAGTAGCAGGAAAAAACCACAATAGACTATCCTAAGTGGTCTTCAAAAACATCTAATATTATTAAACTAATGCTCTATGTTCAACATTATGGTAGGTTCTTTGTGCGACAGAAGAGCTGCATCTATACTTTGGGATGGTTTCGGGTGGAGATGTCAGTGTCAATAAAAATAACCAACATTTCCCCATGCTTTTTAGTTCATAGAGCACTTTTGCACGCAGTGAAAAACATGGTAACTGGTTCAGCACTCTCTTTTCTACTACGTACCTGTCACCTGGGTAAGGTCTTTGAATAAGGAATGATGAACTCACCAATCTGCCAGAAATTCGCATCCAGATCACAATGTGACAGATGCTTTATGAAAGCTAACCACAAAGAAGAATGGAAACTCACATGATGCATCACTTTGGACGGGCGAGAATTAGGAAAAGCTTCAGAGAAGAAGTCTGATTTGAACAGTATCTTGAAAGATAAATGGGTAGCAGGTAGCTGATTACACAAAAGAAGGGCAAAGACATTCCCAACAGAAAGAACCACATATATGGTTAGGTCATGGAGGAGCCCCAGGGTATGGACTATTTGGGGAACATAGTGAGATCTGTGGGGGCTAGAGGGCTGGGAAGCAGGGTCACAGAGAAACAACCCAGAGGAGACAATACCAATGTGCTCTTGTGCACCACGGTAAAGAGGTTGGCTGGACTTTAGGCTAGAAACCAGTGCTTCTCTAAATGTGACTGGAAGTCACTCTACCAGGTTCACCTAGGAATCTGCTCAAGATGTAGATTTCCAGCCCTTGCATCTGGAATGAAGGCCTAGATCTGTGTTTTCAACAAGCCCATGGGAGATGCTGATGTTTGTCATCTAGAGACCCACCAGATTTAAGCAAGGGAATCACATGATCGGATTTGTATTTTAGACATGTCTTATCAGACCAAGCCAACAGTTGTGAAGAGTGCAAATCCTGCTGTGAAATGAGCAGGTGCTGCCAACTTTCCATTAGAACCACCTGAGGACCTCCTCATGCTCAGCCTTACCCAAGACTGACTGCATCGAATCCAGGTAGAGGGGCCAGGGTTTAGACTAGGTTGAACCATAGGAAACTGACATTTAGCTAGGTTAAAAAAAATCACCAAGTATCGGTGATTTCAACATAGCTAAAAATGACATTATATATATAGTCTTTTTGAGATAGGGTCGCCCTCTAGCCCCTGCTGTCCTAGAACTCACTATGTAGACCAGGCTGGCCTCAAGCTCACAAAGATCCACCTGCCTCTGCCTCCCAGGTGCTGGGATTAAAGGTGTACGCCATGACGCCCAGTCGAAAATCTCATATTTTTAAACAAATTTCCTCCACATTTGTGAGGTACCCTGAAAGCCTGAAAACAGCTGATGGAATACAAGCAGAGTTAATGCATCCCCTTTTTATTAATTATCCTCATTATTAGTTAACCTGCAAAGATGGAAGTTCCAGAGTTCATGTACCCAAAACAATAGTTTAAAATGGGGAGGGAGGTAAAAATCAGCCACAAATGAAGTAAGGCAACTAATTTAAGGATTTTAGAGCCAGAAAGAGCACCAAAACTCTTCTCCTACCCCTCAACACATCTACATATCATAAAAACTAATGCTGAAACAGAAAAAACCTGTCTTGAAGTCACACTGGATATTTTATTGAAATCTTCAGTGATATGTGCTTTTATGTGCATTTAAACAGGTATTAAAATTTGTAGCTAAAACAAGTTGGGATTTGGTTTATAGAAGGCTAGTGCCACATGAGGTGGGAGAGAAAGGGTCGTAAAGCAACAACACATATTCAGGTTTCAATGAAACAAAGGAAATTAATACAAAACCTAGAACAGCACTTGAAATGTAACAGATGCTTAATAAAGTTTATTGAATGAATGGTTGACATCTGAAAACTAAAATAAAGAAACTATACTAATGCGGAGGGTTTCTAAGGAAGTGTTCAGGCTGTGAACTAAGTGAACATTTTACACTTTCTAAACTGTTCTAAACACCCCATGGTGTCCAGTGGTGGCCCAGCCTTTTGAATCCCAGCCCTGCCACATGCTCCTTCCTTCCCACCGAAAGTACCCAACAGAAAGCACTGCAAAGGTCATATGTGAACTAAATTGAGCAAACCGTCATAGCCTAGGTATTGGTTAAGCCTGCATATGAGATCAGCCTTCAAAGTCCTTCCCAATAGAAATATTAACTAACACTTACTGATGATAATAATAATAGCAACACAACAGTTAATGCTAACTCAATAATATTGATAACTGCTCAATAATATTGATAACTGCTAATACCTAGTCCTCCATGTCAGAATTGTTCGGGCTTCCATGTATTAACTCCTTTGACTCTAGCGTAAGCCTATTTTGATCATTCTGTTATAGTTAAGCAATACCAAACACACAATTGCAAAGTAGCAGAGTGGAGAGTTGAACCCAGATGGTCTGGCCCCTGTTTACCAAGAGAGCTCCTTGACCTTGTAGTAACAAAACAAAAAACACTCTGTAAGCTGACCCCTGGGAGCACTCCAGTCAGGAGGAGAGCAGTCCTGGATCATATCCTGTGGCCTTTTCATCTCTAAGGAATGAAGGACTTTTATTTGAGAAGATTATACACAAAGTAAGACACCCAGGATACACAGAATCAAGGCAAGAAGACCCAAGGGTTGTTATTTTCTGCCTTGGCACATCATGATTGTTATTGCCTAAAAACAGAAAGTATGTCATTTGGGCCAATAAAATCCCAGGCTTCCACTCTCCCTTAAAAAATGTGAGTGTTCAAGGGACATTTGGGGACACAAACTTGGCACAACTGGCCTTAACATATATGACAGAATGCATGAGATCTGGTGGGGTACTATGGGGAAGGGGGGTGTAGATAGGAGATGGGGGTCTAAATATGATCAAGATATATTGTATGAAATTTGCAAAAATTCAATAAAAAATAGGACTGTGTGAGGTTATTTGTGAAGGAAACAGAAAAAACATTACCATATTTCTTTTATTCAGTAGTGTCACTGAAGAAAGTACTTCCAGAAAGGAAAAAAGAAAAAGAAAAACAAAATATTTTTCCAAAGCAGGGGTAAAAGTCCTGGAATAAAGGGATTTAAAAGAAAAAGACCAGCGGGGGACAAATTTTCCTTTAAGAGTAACCATGGCTTGAGGAACCATCCCAATATTTCCCAAGGAACCAACCAAACGTTTTCACAAGGACCCTGTGCCTGTCAACCATCCTGTAACCCTGACACCCCTAAAGAACGCTGGGAAGGCAGGGAGAGGGACAGCCGGGTCCTGCGCTTGTACAAGCTGCATATCAAGTACTAAAGAAAGAAAAGTTTAGAAAACAAGTCAAGATCCCAGAGTAGTGAGACAGATCCAAAAGAAAGCCCAAGCTGATTGCTTTTCACTCTCAGACTCCCTGCAAATCTCCCTTACATTCAACTATGTCACAGTCAACATGAAACAAACACAGGCAAAGCAACACAGGGACAGAAAATATGCTAAATAAACTTCACAATGAGGATGTCTTCCCAGGGATCCCCTACCCAGTCCAAGGTAACAAAACCGAATGCAGACAGTAACAATAAACCCCCGGACGCACACAAACAACCCAAATGGCTCATCTCACCCTGCTTTAATTTCACTGGGGCATCCTGGCTAAGGGGAAACGTGCCCTCGCCCCGAAGTTGAGTTTTTCCCACTCTTACCCGGGTCTGAGATCTTGAGATTGGAAGTGCGACCTGTTTTCCTCTGATCGCCTTCACTCAAAAGTCAGCCGAGATGTAAAATCTGTTCCCAACAGCGCAGCTGGCCACCAAGCAGACTCTCGGGAGAAAGCGGTTTGAGGGGTGGGGGGGTGTTCTTGTCTTAAGCTCAGAGATCTGGACGTGAGAAAGGAGGCAGATTCCAGCGCCCTTCCAGAGCCCGGTTCTGTGCAGGGGAAGTCTTTGCTGCAACTTGAACAAGGTTTTCTCTTTCTGGCCGGAGATGCTGCAGGAGGAGGCAGTAACTCGAGCCGGGCTGGGATGCTCACAGTTGCGGCTGCTGCAGCTGCTGAGGCCAGGACAGTGGCCGCTGGGGGAGGCGAGGAGGGCTGTGGTTTGGCGCCTCTCGCAGTCCCTCCTGCAACCTGCTGGATCCTTCCGGCCTGGCTCCTGCACCCCAGTCGCAGGCCGTCCCCTCGGGGAGGCTTCCACTTGTCGGGGGAGTTGGGGGGACCGTCAGTGACCCTGTCCGGAGGTGGCAAACTTGAGATCACTGCAGGGGTTGGGCGAAGTGATAGCACGGTAGGCTGCGGGGCTGCGTCCTGACCCAGGTTCAGTGCGAACCTCTGGTCAAAGTCCGCCGCGGAAGGTGTTCTGGACCCTCTACCGGGATTTGGGGGCCCAAGGCCAGCTCCCGAGCGGCCACTAGCCTGGACGACGCTCCCAGTCCCCAAGGTTGCTAGGCGAGGGAGCGCAAAAGTGGAACAGAGAAGGGATGAGTGACCCTGCCCAGCCACCACGTGCAAAGCCGCAGCTAAGTGACTGCAGAGGAAGACGCGAGGAGGGGGACCCGAAGTGGAGGGCGGGACAGCCTGACAGTCCCGGGAAGCCCGGAGAATCCCCGCGGGCGGCCTCGCCAGGATTTCTTGGGGAATGGCTCCCTCTGGCGCCTCACGGAGGCGGCCCTGGGAGACTTGAAGACAGGACCTCTGAGCCCTGGGAACTCCGCAGCCGGCTCCTTGGTTCACTTTCCTCCTCCAGACCAAAGAATTTCAGCACATCCCAACAACACAGCAACCTTTCTAGTTGCTAGGAAGTTATTTCTTGTCTTAATTTTATCCACCTCCAAACAAAAACAAAAAACAGGCGTGTGCTGCATACTGGACGCCAGCTAGTCAAATAATCCTGTCCTTCCAGACTTCTTTTCCTCACATAACACGAATTCTTTTTAGAAAAGCCTCAAGTGCACAGGCATGCCAAGTTGATTACACCTCTTGGCAAATAATTCAGCCTGCAAATTAAATTGAATGAATGCATTTTGAAAAGAACAAACATTTCTTACAGCAAAGTGAGAATGTTTGAACCACCTGCCCCCATCGTCTTTGGTCTTCCCTGGAAACACACTGCGGGGGTGGGGGGGCACCATTTGTTGCTAGCTGGTTGCTTGCTTGGTTGCTGGTTTTGCTGGCCGGCTGGGAGGGGGGCTGCTGTTGGCTTAGGAGACATCATTGTTGGTCTCTTGTAATAGTACCTCCATTCATGTTTGGTGGACCTCCCTTGCCACAAGTACTATAGTCCAGGTGGGAAGGTCAGTCAGGGCCTGCTCAGAAGTGGGCCCTCACCTGACCTAGGCACCCCAGGCCCTCGTTGGGAGTCTGAACTCAAAATGAATTAGCATAAGGGTAAATGAACTCTGGAGCTGATTAGGCCATATGCCTGTTTTCTAAGACTGTCAGTCATTAGTTTATTCCATATACTCCCCAAAGCTTCCTCTTCTTTTTAATCCACTATTCCACTTCCCTTTCAATGTTTTCACCAGCTTGAATTTACATTCAATATATTGGTCCCATGTTTCGTGCAGTTTGATGTGCTTCGAACAATGTGTACCCCTGACTGATCACTACTGCAACTGAGATAACCAATAATTCCACTCCCTCCACATTTCCAATATTCTCTCTAAAGTGAATCCCTCAACTGACCCCCATTTGATCCACTGAGTTCTTTTCTTATTTTAACTATTTTATTACATTCTTATTTATCTGGTGTGTGAAGCAGGTATATGTATGTGTAGGTTAGAAAACAACTCTCAGGGGTCAGTTCCTTCCTTCCACCATGTGGGTCTGGGGTATCAAACTCTGGTCATCAGCCCTGGCAGCAAGCAGCTTTACCTGCTGAGCCATCTTGTCAGACCTTCTGAATTATTTCCTATAACTACATTTTGTATTCATCTTTCCTAGCATTGCATATGTATGGAATCATACAGTACATAGTCCTGTGTTTGAATTCCTTCACTCAGCATGCTTCTGAAATTCATTGTTGTTGCCCAAATCTACATTTTGTTCCTTTTCACTGGTGAGTTGTATTCCATTGTATGGATACACCATGGATGGTTTTCCCACTTAGTAAATTTTGATGGACATTGGGATTGTTTCAAAAATGGGGGTCATTATGAATAAGGCATATGGGACATTCTTGGACAAGTTCTTAAGTAGGCAGGTGTTGCTTCTCTTATCTCAAAGATATCTCACTTCAGTAGTGTTTAATAACATAATAGACTGCTGGACCATTTTCCAAAATTGCTGCATCCCTTCAAATTCCTACCAGCAATGTTTGAAGGTTGTTCCATATCTTCATCGACACTTAGTATTTCTTAGTGCTTTCTTTTTATTTTAGCCATTCCATTGGGTATACAACAGATTTCATTGTGATTCCGATTTGTAGTCCCTCTTTGTTAATGGTGGCCACTGTCACAAATGCTTACAACCTGGGGATGGAAGGTCACTCAGTGGTTAGGAGCACTGGCTGCTCTTACAGAGGACCTGAGTTCTGTTCCTAGCACCCACATGGCAGCTAGCAACCACCTGAAACTCCCGTTCCAGGAGATCCTATGCCCTCTTCTGGCTGTCACAGGCATTGCATGTACATGTTGTACTGACATGCAGGCAAAACACTCATGCACATAAAATAAAAGTAAATGAATTAAAATTTTTAATGTTCTCTATAATGGGTTTTGTTTTTTAATAAGAGTGTCAAAATTTTTGTTCAATTTTACTCATTTTTATATTATTTTACTGGATTATAGTGCTTTATATATTTTGAATACTAGACAGGCTTTTATCAGATGGGGGTCTAGCAAATATCCAAGTCTGTTCTTGGTTTCTATTTATTTCCTTATTTATTTACAAATAGGCTCTCCTTATGCAGCACAGACTGGTCTTGAGCCCTTGCTCCTCCTGCCTCAGCCTCCTAAGTGGTAGGTTATAATATGTGTCACCATGCTCAGTTTCAGTTCCTTAGTATCTTTCAAGCAGAGGCTTTTTATCCTATCTGTTCTTACAAAATTTTAGGGTTTCAGCTGTTGTATCTAGGTCAATGATACACTTGGAGTTCATTTTTGTAAGAGGTATCAGGAGAGGGCAGATTTCTAGCTAGTTACTGTTGTTGTTGGGTTTGGGGGGCAATATTTGTTGATGAGAGTATCTTTTACCCATTGGGTAACCTTGACACCTTTATTGAAAATCAGTTGTCCAGTGTGAGCAGTCTACTTTTGGATTTCCTCCTTGTGCCAACATCTTACCATCTTGTTTGCAATTCTATATTAAAACCCTAACTTAAATAAAGTAAGTCTTGAAACTTTACTGCCTTTTGTTTAAAAAAAATTATTTAGCTCTTCTACTTTTTATTTTGGATTGGTTTATAGCTTCCACATGAATTTCAGAGTTAGCTTGTCAATATTTTAAAACCTCATTTTGGGGGAATTGAGAGTGCCTTGAACCAACTGATATTATTTCTTTTCCTTCTGTTTTTTTTTTGGGGGGGGTCTTTTTGAGACAGGGTCTCCCTGTAGCCCC